ATGTCTTGCTGAGTTTATGCATGTAAAAGATGAAATTTCAGCTGAACGAATTGGTAAATTCGGCGAAAATTGATCAACAATTGGACAATTTGGACAGTGAAGAACTTAGACTCGCTACCTCTTATTTGCTGAGCAAATTAGGTAATGAACCTTCTTTAAATGGCTACTTGGATTAGCTACAGCTCATAATTTGCTTCTTCATGGCAATTTTTTCAGCTACTTTCGCCAATGCCAGATTGATCGGTAGTCGGTCTGCTTGATGTTTAATTCGTCTCTTAAATGAATTACCAGCTCAGCAGTTCTTCCCACAGAAGTAATTAACAATGTCTCTAGCACATTCAGCTAGGATTGTTTCATCGATTGCTACTCATTAAGCACAATGAACTACTTCATTGACTTCGAGAATATTCCTTGAAAATACTTGGACTGGTTTTATTGCCACCGGGTTGTCCGAACTTGGCAAAGTAGTAATAAACGGCACTATCGACCGATTTGTTACTCGTTTTGATGATAAATTGGTGCTGACCAGTGCTAAGAAATCGCATCCAGCTTGCATCTAAGCAACTCTTGGAAGCCATGAGCAGCCCTTGCCATTAGATAGTTTTGGTCCATGTTATCATTTGAGATGCTTTCCAACTGTCTACCCTTCTAGAATGCGTAAATTTTGAAAAGACTTTACTCTTAGTTTTATTATTAAGCGTTTTGTCCTGTGGAACAGCATTACAAAACGCATATTGTCACGCGGTTGTCTGTGTGTGTGCGTGTGTGTGTGTGTGTGCGTGTGTGTGTGTGTGTGTGTGCTTGTGTATGTGTCCCACATTTTGTCCTCCACTTTCAACTCGGGAACCACAAAAGCTAGACGGCTGAAATTTTTCGGTATAGTGTTCCCGCCAGCGGGTAACGCGGCAAATTTAAATTCAGCCTTCCCGTACCCGCGGGCAACACGTACGGCCCCGAAAAAGTTTTTCGGATAAAATCAGTATCTCGGGAACTACCGAAGCTAGGAAGCTAAAATGTTATGGGTATGTTCCCTGGCCACGTGCGACCCAAAAAGCTCAAATTCAACTTTTCTGTACCCGCGGGTAACACGTACGGCTTCGTGAAAATTTTTTACGGGTAAATTAATATCTCGGGAACTACGGAGTCTAAGAAGCTGAAATTTTAGGCTAGGGCCCCCTGCCCACGCTCAACCTTACCTATTCAAATTCAGCGTCCCCGCGCTCTCAGTTATCACCTACCGGCTAGTGAAAGTTTTTGCGGATAAATTATCATCTCGGGAACCACAA